AGCTTTAACATTTGATGCAACAAAATCACTGTTCTCTTGTGTTATTATTATTTTTAAAAGAACCTAAACAATTTGTTCTAACAAATCGTTTTTTAAAATGTACCTACGAGATGGAATTTTCGTATAGTACATATTGGAAAAATTAATGGAAAATTTGCTAAGTCACAAAATTATCTACAAATTTTGTAAAAAAGCAGACCTTGTTATTATTTTTTTTATAATAAAGGGTAAATGAAAAACGCGAAACATTGCATTCAAAGTTTTGCAAAATACTTAAAGAAAATTACTTAGCAACGTTTTTTGTGTTTCCTGTACAATTGAAAAAAATGGACTTAGCAACTTTGCACTCTAAGCTAGCGATATGAGCTTCTCTGAAATACATTTGTTCTTTTCTGAAATACGTTTGAGCTTTTCTGAAATACATTTACTTTTTTCTGAAATAAATTTGAGGTTTTCTGAAATACATTTGAGTTTTTCGGAAATTTTGTTGGAAAAGGTGTAGTTCAAGATAGCTGATGCCACTCAGTTAAGTACTTCTACTATCGCCAGGAAGTTTCTTTACCACACTGATCATCTATTTAAAGCTTTTAACTTTGGATTTTATAGAAAAAATCTGGCACTGAAAGAATTATTTTTCTACGAATTCGCCTTGATAGATAAATATATGTATGTGTATTTAAAGATAAGATAAAATGAAGGAGATGAGGAATATTCGAAATTTGCTGCAAACAATATTACGTTTTGACTCCTAAATCCACATTTCCGCATGGATCTGAAAGCTCTCTTGTTGAACTCCATTTCCAGTAAGCATCCATTGCTATTTAGTCGGCGCATGCACGTAGGAAAATGCTGGTCCGTTCGTGTTTGTATTTTGATTAAAACTATGGAAATATCGTCTCCTCTCTTTTAACTCTAGTTACTCCGTCACCTTTGAAGTCAACGGTAAAATTTTAACCATAGTCCGTATCAGGCAAGTCTACGCCAAGGCTCCATTCCAAAAGCGAGTGCAGCGACGTCAACGGCTTCTGCGGAAATTGAGGAGCTCTTCCTCAATCAGCGGAATTGCACGCATCAACTCAAAGCCTTCGCTGCCTCGCGTCATTATACCCGAACTCGCCGATTGTGCCACTCAGACGTCCAAACCGCAAATGCGTAGTCGTGCCACAGAGACCGAAGTAAATGTGCTTTCAGTTCACCGTCAACAGCAAACTATACGTCGTGTATTGCGCAAACAGGGCACACAAACCGATCCGAATACTTCATGTCATTGTGTACAGACCGAACGCAGAATTGCAACACGCGGCACGCAAACGAACGAAAGTAGCACCGAAACAACATCATCGCAAACCGAGAACTACTGCTACAACAATCAGGTGCAAACCGAAACTTATGAGGAGGAGGATCAATGCATGGAGCGTGAAAAGGAAGCGGTAGTGTTTATGCTGAACGAAATTGGCGAAATGATCATCAATCAGAATCATTTGCTGCAAAACAACTCGACAATGCTGAGTCAAATATCGGAAATGACGATGTTGAGTAAAGTAGCGGCTCGACAAAAGTCGGTATCGCCGATACGAGACATAGGTTAATACTTTAAAACGTTCAATCTTTGAATCTACTTAAAGAAACTGCAAAAAGCTGGAGAAACAATACAAAATGCATCGGAACATTCGAAAACATGGTCGTATACGCAGAATGCTCATGCCAGAGAAACCATCACCCCCGGCTCCTGTGGATAAGCGGTTTGTGCTGCTCTACCGTTGAACATAAGTTTACGGGATATACTTTTTTACATTTTACAGGAGTCAAGGGGCACAAGCCACTTATCCAATAGGCTTATCCAGCAAAACGACGCAGACACGTAAAGAACAGCGCCAACGTAGACGATTCAAGATTTTTTGCTTTTAAGTATAACTAATATTTTAAATTATTAATTTCTTGCTGTGATTTTGGTAAAATTTGAAAATAGGTAAAATATATTCCAGATTACATACAGAAGAAAACTTAATATTTACAAATGAGCCTGGATGTAAGTAATAACAAATATGCATGCAGAAATACGTTTATTGTTTTTAAACAGATGTATTAAAAAAACTCTCACTATTGTTAAGGGGCACATGTCTTTAATCCTTGTCTAATGCTGCTTAATCCTTACTGAAGTAGTAAAAATTAGACAAGGATTAGTAAGAGTTTTATTTTTTTCAGTTTTTTCGCTATTGCAGAAGACCATCGATATGTATATGTACATATAAATGGAATGAGTCTGCTTCAATTCGCCAGTTGCGCTAGAACATTTCCCGAACCGAAACGACTGGTATTCTCCGTCAAAAATTGGCGTTTGGGCAGGATCTGGCGCTTTATACCAACAACTCTCACTAAGGGAAGATTCGAGTTTTGCTAAGCCGAAATACATATCGCAATTTCACCTGAGGGTAGGAATGACAACTCTATAAGGCTAATTATAATGAGATACCTAATAAGGACAGTCTTTTTTAATATATAATACTTGTAATCATATAATTAAGTTACACCATATAGCAATAAAATTATTTATAAAAAAAGTGGTTTTATTATTGAAAATGTACAAAAAACATATGTATATAATCAAAAGTACGGATTTCATGTTCAAAGTTTGTTTACATTTTTGATGTTTAAAAATATTGAAAGACTTTTAGTTAATTTTAATATTATATTTGACCGTATGATTCGTGCTCATATAATTTAGTCACCGCCAAAGGAATGCATATTAAAACCAAGTTATCGTCTTTTCAATAAATGTCATTCAGTACTTCGTTGGGAATCCTTCTTGACGTATCACTTAATCGCATCTCCTGTTCTAGAAGCGGACTAAAGACTCTCATTGCGGCGGAGTGATTTTACTCCACTCGTCCCTAATAATCTCCCATAAAGAAGCCTCGTTTGTTGGTTTTCGCGCTGCAACTGCTCTCTTTATAATATTCGATAGCTTTTCTATAGGGTTTAAGTCTGTGCTTTGCGCCGGCCATTCATTAGCATTAATCCAGTCCTTAACGACCCGAGAGCAGTGCTTGGGGTCGTTATCTTGCTGATATATCCAAGCAAGTGGCAAGTCATCAGCGTAATCCTCAACTAGATGTTCTTCTAAAATTTCATTATTCATCATTTCCCCAAACCATTACTGATGAGCCATCATGTTTTACTGTTTTTTTTTTGTGTACTTGGGGTTTAATTCTTGCAATGGCGGACGTCTTACATAAGGTCTTCCATCATTACCGAACACATTAATAAATAAGTAAATAAATACCTCCGCTCCTAAAAGCGTGCGCACCTCACTTTCTCAGAAGGAAGTCCCACAGCAATCACTTTGGGAAATTTGGAATGTCAGAAGTTTAAAAAGAGGTGCTTCAGTTGATAGAGGAAAAAATTTGCAACCAGTTGGCTTTTGATTCACTATAAGCACGTTCACCACGAAAACTAAAATTTCAAATTGTTTTGTTGTAATTTTCACGGTAGGTATTCTGTAAAAGCAAAATATATTGCAAAATGTTAATATCGTTTAAACCATGATAAAAATATAGTAAGGTAGAACCGCTGAGAGTCACTTCTAAAATTCTTGACGTTTCCAAACAATTTAATTTTTAAATTTACTCACAAACTCACACACACATTTTCATTTTCAATCTCAAGCAACAACAATTTCGAACAATTTCATTTTTTTATTTTCACATTTATATGATTTTAAAATGTTGGCAAACTTCAAAAAAAAATCATGGCCGACAAATTGAGAGAACGGTTATACCTTGCTATGTTTTTATCATGGTTTAAACCACTAAAAACTAAAATATTTCACATACTTTTCAATTTTCGCTCATAAGTACGCTCCAAAACCTTCACAGCAACCACAAAAATGTACATAGTTGCCTGCATGATAAAAGCATAGTAAGTAAAACCGTTCTCTCAATGCGTCGGCCATGATTTTTTTTTTGAAGTTTGCCAACATTTTAAAATCGTATAAAATTGAGAGTAAAAAAAAGGAATTGTTCAAAGTTGTTGTTGTTTGAGATTGAAAATGAGAATGTGTGTGTGAGTTTGTGTTGTAAATTTTAAAATTAAATTGCTCACGTCAACTTGTTTGAAAAATTCCTCTCAGCGGTTCTACCTTCCTATTTATGTATCATGGTTGCCCAAGAATGATAGAATACAAGATTGCGCCGATTGCAGCAGAATTCGTGGGAGTAATTTTAGCGTGACGTCATCGTAGAGTTGACAACTGAGAGCGGCGAGAATGAGGGCGACTAGTGATGTGCTGAATTGTCCCCAATACTCGGTACCCAATACTTAAAAAAGATTTCGGTACCCTATACTTCCTTTTCGGTATCCGATACCGATTATTTACATTAAATCCTCGCCGTTATATGCATTTCAGGTTTAGAAAAAACTTTCATTACTAATTTATATGATATCGGCTAAAACACTTGAACTTATCGCCACAGAAAAATATTATTTTATCAGTTTTAACCTTAGTCGATCCAAGGTTCAAGAAAAATACTTTGACGGATGAAGAAGCCTTTCAGGGGAGAGATTCTGTAGCCAGTTAGCGACAAGTTTCGGATCGATATCGCACTTGTTGACTTACAAATATTTGATATCAAACGTCGACAAAACCGATACCGATTCGAAAATTGTCGTTAACTGGTTACAGAATCTGTCCCAGGCCTACAAAAATGATATCGTCCGATTCAGCTGGGACAAAAATGCTTCAAACAAGTAAGGGTTTCTCTGTATTATGGCATCGAACCGACATATATACATCTTTCATTTGAATCAGTAAAAATGCTCTATTGGCTCTTACATTCGGGTTTTGTTAGGCGTTTTTTCCATATTTTTGGCCTATGTACGCTTTTATTCGAAACCTAAATGTTTCGGTACCGAGTATCGAGAGTATTGCGTACTTAAAAGTATTGACTCAGCACATCACTACTGCTGTCTTCTTTACTATGACGTCACCAAAACAGCTGATTCTGTCAAAATCACAGAGCCGAGTAGCGGTATCGTCATCGGCGCCACCTCTGTATTCTCTACACCGTGATGGTTGCCTGTATACACACTTTCTAGAAACTGCATTTTCCTTTAATATCGTTTCGCCAACTGGTAACGCAACTGAAGTTCGGTTGCTATCGATAATCGACCCATAAATTTAGTCTCATCGCTCCAAAGAATTATTTTCCAATAATCTAATACAGTGATTCCCAAAGTGGTCCAGGTGGACCTCCAAGGGTCCACGGAAGACTCGACGGGGGTCTACGTTGGCGTTAAAAAAATATGGGGGTCCACGAGTTGTAAGTGGGGGGATAGTTAGAACCAAAATGGTTGCTTAATGGCCTATTTATTTATCTTAAATTTTTTTGAGTGGTGTAAAGTAAGGTGAATAGAACTTTTTAACATTCCAGGAGGACAAATTCACCACATTGGAAACACAAAAGATTTGTTATATTTATTTTAACACAAATAACGAATAAATAACGATTCAAAGTTTCTCTTAACAAAAGTCAAACAAGTTAATAGTGCACTGCGTTGCATAATTATAAGACCGCCACATATTAACAAGTTTTGATATGTATTTTTAATCAACTTAACAAAGAAGGTTATCAATTCGTCGGAATATTTTTTTTAAATTAATTTTCCACCGGAAAGTCTCACAGGTGGCCCCATACTAATTTGATTTGGATCCGATCATTGGATCATGAAAAAATTAACGGTAGTCCTAAATTTTTATATAAGAATTGAAGTCGGTTTTGTATTTGCTTAAAAATTACTTTTTAAATTATTTAATTGTAGTTGTTTTACTTTCAAAAGAAATTGCTTTCGTTCTTCGTCTTTCGCGAAAGTTCGATTATAGTTTTTATCAACGCTATACCTCGTTCAGCAATATATTAAAATATATATTTAATCGTCTCTAAGACAGCCAACTTCGGGGTAATTTTTTAGAGAATTTAATTCTCTCATATTCTTGTATGCCTAGAAACAAATTTATCCCTTTTTTATAACTTATCTTAACGGTTCAAAAGTTATAACATTTTTAATGAAAACAAATTTTTTTACATAGAAAATTTCAAGTGTCGTCCGACAACTTTAAAATTGAAATAAAAATGTTTCCAAATGGGAGAATTTCCTTCTCAGTAAATAGGTAATTTTAAGGCCATAAATTCGTCAGGTTAGTTATGTATGTTGTTGTATGTTGTATATATATACAAGAATTACTCGTTTACAGTAATAAGGATAAGTAACAAATTTCCCGGAAAACACCCAAAAAAAAAGGTCTGGATCCGCCGCTGGGCCTGTTTTATTTTTGGTTATGTACTTGGACGTGAAATAATAATTTTTCTAAAATTTTGTAAGCAATTTTAAGCTCCAATGCAACGAACATACAAATGCTTTTATCAAGATGAAAAATCCCCACACACAAATATTGCCACTGATAAAACTTAGAGCCAATTTACACGATGACTTTTCACTCTGGGTGGAAAGTCATGCGTGTCGAGCTTGTAGGCAAGAAGTGTAGCGAAGTTAGCGGGGTAGGCAAGCACGCACGGTGAGCGAAATCGAGGGGGTTTTTTTTGACGTTTCGCTTTTATTTAGTTCATTTTGTCGTATTTTTGCTTTGAGTTCGCGATTCGCCCCGCTTTAAAAATGAGGACGAAAGAGTTGACCACAGAAAATTTGACTCTTAAATGTCAAAAATACGCAGGAAACGCAGCAAGGAAAGAGTCTTCGTGTAAATGCACGAGGATTTTCGAAGACTTTTTTAAAAGGGAGCGTGCCAAAAACGCAGGGTGAAAAGTCGTCGTATAAATTGGCTCTTATACGTACAGTATTGGCCAATACAATAGCACCCCCATTTCAAAGTCATATTGTTTGCCACTCATGTTTATTTATATTGTTTTATAAATTTTCAATTAAAATACAGTACATTCTTTCACAAAACTCACATAAACTCAAGTTTAAAACTTTTTAAAAGACCGCAAAAGAGTGCAACAAATTTTCACCCAAATTTCAAACTTTTTTCTCAGAAGCGGTAGAATTTTTTTGAATACACAGTTTTATAGCCCATTCAATTTTAGTCTAATAATGTGCAAGTTTCAAGTGGCTAAAAATTACCGTTGGTTTTTTAGAATTTTTTTCGCCGAGGATGTTGCGGGTTTGTGCCATATAAAAATAAATTGTGTTTAGTCGTTATATGGAAGCAAATGAGACAAAAAAAAATCAAAAAAATCGACGGTAATCTTTAGCGACTTGAAACTTGCACATTATTGGACTAAAATTGAATGCGCTATAAAACTGTGTATTCAAAAAAATTCTACCGCTTCTGAGAAAAAAGTTTGAAATTTGGGTGAAAATTTGTTGCACTTTTTTGCGGTCTTTTAAAAAGTTTTAAACTTGAGTTTATGTGAGTTTTGTGAGAGAATGTACTGTATTTTAACATTCTAGAGCTTCTGAGAAAAAAGTTTGAAATTTAAGGGAAAGTTTGCTGCGCTTTTTTGCGGTC